TATGCGTGCACGTGAGTATAGATCTGTGCAACTTTATCACACGTGCTGACTAATGTAACTGCACTGCATCCAAGATAAAGAACTGTTCCATTACCACAAGACTTCCCTCCTTATGTTACCGCCCTTTGGCACCCTTATCCCCGTCCTCTTATTTCTGATGCCTGACAATCACCAATCTGTTCTCCATGTCTGTAGTTTTGCTCTTGCCAGAATTTTAAATGTGGAAACATTAGTAGGTACTATATGTTTTCATAGTGGCTGTCCCATTTTACACTCCCACCAACAATGTGTGTGTGATCTAGTCCCTCCACATCCCCATCATGCTTTGGGATTGTCATGGTTTCTTATTTTAGATCTTATGACATGGTGGCTTTAATGTGTATTTCTCTAAGACTTCAGGAAAAGAGCCCTGGTCTGGTACTGGTTACACATTGGGCTGCTGACCCAAAGGAGAGGTCAGCTGGAACCTGTTAGCAGAAGAAAGGACCTGAAGGCTGCCCAGGAATTCAGGTACTGCCACTCACGTCTGGTGGCGACCAGTCAGCACTGACTGCACAGAACAACAGGAGTTAATGATACTGCAGATATTTCTTTTGTCTATTTTCCATCTGCACATACTCCAGTAAAAAGTTTATTCTTGTCTCTTGTTCATTTTCTACTTGGATTGTGAAAAATGGCTGGGTTTTGAGAATTCTTCATACTTTGTAGGACTCAATAAGTAACTTACTGCATGACTGACCGTTAGAAAGATGACTACAGATGCACAGCCACTGCTTTCCCAGGGGTCACCATAGAAGGCCCTGGGAGAGGGCGAGAAATAGGTAAGACAACATTCTAAATTCGCAAAAGGACATACTGACCTATAGACTGGTGGGACCCACGAGACCATAGCCCCTCAACCTGGAACTGAACCCATTCCTGAAGACCACCTTTCAGGCAGACAACAGGCCTACAGACAAAACGTGTGAGGAATGTGCCCTACAGACAGGAGGACCCAAAGCGCAGCATTTGCCCCAAAACAAAAGGAGGGAGGGACACGAAACAAAATGTGTGTCAGCTGTGGATTGGGAAACGAATTTCTCTGTAAACTTTCACCCCAAGTACAGTAACATCGCTCCCTCCCTAATAACTAAGTAAGCAAGTAAATAAATACATGAAACACTGCAAGTAGTCCCACGAGGACGCCGCGCGCCCTCAGCCCCCTTGCGAGGTCGGAGCGCCCCCTGTCGGTCGGGAGAGCCCGTCGGCTCTCAGACGCAGGAAGTGACACCGCCACCCTAAGACAGGGGCGGGGCAGGAGGAGCCTGCCGGAAGAGCACGAACCTCGAACCGGAAGTACATTCGTAGAAGGCTGCTCCGCAGAATGACGTCCTACTCACAAAAGGAAGCCGAGCCGCGAGGGGTTCTGCAACATGGGTCCGCCGGCGTCTCCCTTCGGTAGAAGCGTTCCGCGGGCGCCCCTCCCAGGAAGCCCCGGGTGGTGGGGCGAGCGTTTCCGGTGCCGGCCGCTGGAGCTGGCAGTTGGAGGTGTGAGAAGGGGTCGGGGTACTGGAAAGAGAAGGAGAGGAATGGGGTCCAGGGTGAAGAGGGTGGACACGTGGTGCCTTGACCGGCAGGGAGGGGACTCGGATGGAAGGCCAGCGCCTCTGCCGACGGGTCCACCGCTGTCGGCGCACGACTCACGTCACGTGGCCTGGCCTTTGTCCGAGGCTGCCTTTCCCCCCCGGACGTGAGGCTAGGAGCTGTGCTCAGAGACCTCTGCTGAGTGCCGTACCTAGCACAGCGATGGCGCTTAGTAAGCCCTTGTGGAGTGAATAGCACGTGTGGAAGAGGAAGTGTGCAGGAGCTTCTCCATTTCCTCCTGGGGAGCCCATGTATGCCCCTCCTACACTCGGACTCGCTCCCCATCCTGGTCTCTCTCTCTCTCTCTTGGTGGGAAGGACTGGTGGTTCTTTAAGGCATTGACTGCTCAGATTGAGTGCTAGGCCTTGTGGCTAAGTGCTGGGGCTGTCCAGAACCAGAGAACATAAGCTAAGTTAGTCCTTTATGCAGATCACAGACCATTGGCTAGACAGATACAGGGACAGAAAATTTAGGCATACTTTAAAAAAAAATAATTTTAATGGGGGCTCATACAACTCTTATCACAATCCATCCATCCATTGTGTCAAGCACTTTTGTACATTTGTTGCCCTCATCATTCGCAAAACATTTGCTTTCTACTTGAGCTCATGCGTGGTATCAGCTCCCCATTTCGCCCCCCCTCCCCCGCCCTCCTCACTTCCCCTCCCTCATGAACCCTTGATAATTTATAAATTATTATTTTGTCATATCTTATACTGTCTGACATCTCCCTTCACCCACTTTTCTGTTCCGTCTCCCAGGGAGGAAGTTATATTGTAATCGGTTCTGCCTTTCTACCCCACCTTCTCTCCACCCTCCCAGTATCATCACTCTCAGCACTGGTCCTGAAGGGATCATCTGTCCTGGATTCCCTGTGTTTCCAGTTTCTATCTGTACCAGTGTACATCCTCTGGTCTAGCCAGACTTGCAAGGTACAATTGGGATCATGATAGTGGGGGGTCGGGTAGGGAGGAAGCATTTAGGAACTAGAGGAAAGTTGTATGTTTCATTGTTGCTACACTGCACCCTGACTGGCTCATCTCCTCCCTGCGACCTGTCTGTAAGGGGATACCCAGTTGAGGCTGTAGATCTTCAAGGGAGCCGACAGCCTCATCTTTCTCTTGCCAGGTGCTATCATACCAAAACAAGACCAAACAAAAAACACCCAAACTCACTGCCATCTAGTCCTTGCCAACTCATAGTGACCCTCCAGGACAGGGTAGGACCGTCTCTGTGAGTTTCTGAGACTGTATCTCTTTACAGAGACAGAAAGCCCTGTATCTCTGGCGGAGCAGCTTATGGTTTTAAATTGCTGACATTGCTGTCTACAGCCCACTCAGTAAAGTAGAAGATAGAGCCCCAAATGGTGCTGCCAGCCACCTTTGTAAAATGAAGAAGTTGCACCGAAACGATCTCCAAAGCCTCTTGCAGTTTTATCATACTGCCCTGTACCAGGCATCATTTTATATTAACGTTACTCTCCCCACCTGCATTATTGAGAAAGATAGTGGCCTAATTTTCCATCCCTTTGGCTACCTGCTCCTGTAAAGATTTGGTCTTAGAGGCTCCAAGGAGCAGTTCTACTCCGTTCCATGGGGTCACTGCCAGTTGGAATCAGCTGATAGCAATGCGCTACGGGGTGACCTTTATTTGCCCCAGTATTAGGCACATACTCCCTTGGAGTCGGTTCTGATGCATAGCAACCTTGTAAGACTGAGTAGAACTCCCCCTGTGGGTTTCCCAGACTGACTCATTATGAGAGTAGAAAACCTTGTCTCTCTCCCGTGGAGCACCTGGTTGTTTCAAACTTGACCTTGTGGTTAGCAGCTCAATAACTGAAGTCAGCAGCTCAATGCATAACCATTCAGCCACCAAGGGTATTAGGCACACCAGTGCACGTTTACTCAAAACGAGTGGAATACAGTGAGTTAGAGATGACAGGAATTGTATCTGGACCCTTTCCCACTGCCGGGTATACATTTATAGATGAGAGCTAAAGGAAATGGAGCTTTTACAAAGCCTTGGGGTTGATATGACAGATTTAAGCCAGCTTTATGGGGTAATCCGCTTGGCGAGGATAATGATGTAGGTTGACTGTGCAGTGCTAGCTCACTCAACCGTCTATCTGCCTGTCCCCAGGACCATGGCAAGCAGTGAGCGCACCTTCATTGCCATCAAGCCTGATGGGGTCCAGCGGGGCCTCGTGGGAGACATCATCAAGCGTTTTGAGCAGAAGGGATTCCACCTTGTCGCCTTGAAATTCATGCAGGTAAGCGGACTCGCTCCTCCCTGTGTTGATGATTCCTTGGTAGGGTGAGAGAACAGTTAAGCACTAAACTTCTTGGTTCCTTTTTAGACTTCTCTGTGGCAGGGTGGACATCAGTGTCCTCCCACCTGGAAAGTCCTGTTTCCCTGTAGTGGGTCTGAATCTTGGAATCAGCCGTTATTGGGGGCTTTAGGAAGTAGCCTCTCCTCTCGCTTAGCCATGCAGAGTTGCACATGTCACCGTAGCTCTGTGGTCATTCTGACTCAGCGCGGGCATGTTTGAGCTGCTCTCCAGTTTCCTGAGCAGATAATTTTAGTGGACAGTACTCCACCCTACCCCCATCCCAACTCACTGAAGGCAGGTTGTTTTTCGACCAGGAAAGATTTCCATTATCAATGAGCATCCACGGAGTGTCTAGCATCTATTAAGCACCATCAGCACATGAAAGGATAGGGCGGGGACACTGGTTTTGTGCTTGGGGAACCCCTCCTGAAACAGCACAGAACAGATACACTTGTAAGACATTCAGAAAGGAACATTTTAATAAATGCAAAGGATTCATTGGCCAAGAACTCCTCTTTAAACAAAAATCCCCGATGCAAACAGATTAGGAGACAGTCTCTCTCCCATTAAAGGAGTCATCTTTGGATTCTCCAAAGGAGCCCTGGTGGCATAGTGGATCCGCACAGCCGGCACTTGGAAACCACCAGCAGCTCCGAGGAAGAAAAGACCCGGCTTTCTACTCCTGTCAACAGTTCCAGTCTTGGAATCCCACAGGGGGTCGCTGTGAGTCAGCACTGACTGGATGGCAGGGAGTTGGAATCTCCTATTCACTGCCTTTCAGTCGATCAAGTCCGACTCGCAGCGGCGCTATAGGACGGAGTAGAACTGCTCATTAGGGATTTTGAGTCTGTACATCTTCACAGAAGCAGACAGCTTCGTCTTCCTGCCATGAAGGGGCTGGTGGATTTGAACCACGGACCTTTTCACAGTCCAGTGCTTACCCAACAGCACCACTGGGCTCCTTTAGACTCTCCTAGTGTGTGATTATTTAAAAATGTTCTGAACTGGGGGAAGGTTTGCAGAGCAAATTAGTTTTCCAGTCAGCAGTTGAGACGTGTGTTTCCTGTCATTGCAATCCCCATGATTCCTTGTGCATTTTCAACTTCCATTTAGTTTGCAACGTAGTTCCTGTGTGATATTTTGGGAAAACTGCTTCAATATGTCCGGGAGTCCATGGATACTAATATTGAGGGAGGTGTTGGAGCCAGGTGTTAGACAATGAATGCTTTTAGAGGCTTGCACAGCAAGTTAGGGCTGCTTTAATAAAAATTTTTAAGAGCACACTTATTTAGTCTTAAATGGGACAAAGATATCATTCAGATGAGGGAGACCATTAGCACAAGGTCATCATGGTGTTCAGCGGGTTGCTGATACACAGAGCTTTACCAAGGACGTGGGAGGTCAAAGGCAGCGTCACAAATGCATGGTTGGCGGCAGATAGGAGCATCATAGTCACAGGTGAGATTACTCAAGCAGGAAGGGGGCCATGATTGAGCCATGAACACCATGTTAGAGGAGCTTACAAGATGGGTCGAGGCAGGACTCATGACTGTGTGGATCCCCACCACCACCCTGCCCCCATAGTGATCTCCATCAGAGACACACCTGGCAAGCCCCCAAGGGATACTGCCCCTCCCTGGGCTGGCCAGGGGTTAAATGAGGGTTTGAAGGTACAAGGAAAGTACTATTGGTGGCATTTACTGTTTGTGGGGCACAGCCCCGAGCAGTCTCATGAATCGTTCTCTGACAACCCTGAGAGGTAGGCTTGCTTCTTCCCCTGGTTGTAGGCGAGGAGGAACCTGAGGCTGGGCGAGGTTAAGTGATGTGCCTCCGAGCCGATGGTCCTCCGGAGCGCTGATGTCGTGAGTGCATACACTTTCCCTCTACACTGAGTTTCCTGGTGAGGATCTGGATTTGGGAAAGAATTGAAGGAGAGAAGGGACTGCCACCGTGAGCCAGAGGGGATACTTCAATTTGATGTAGGGATAGAGGTGAATGAATACTTGAGCCCCCTCTCCTCCTGGGTCCTCCATGCAGCCCTCCCCCCCAAACAAACAAACAAAACCAGCAACCCATTGATTTTGTGACTGGGGCCAGCAAGTACAGTGGGAGGGTGTTCTGGCGAGGGAAGGTGGAGTTGCGATAGGGGACTACCACTCTAAAAGGTGAAGGGACAGGGTGAAGGCCAGAGTGTGGTCATGAGTGCTCACATGAGGGTCGACTTTTATTTTGGCAAGGGATGCTCAACCAGAGCCCGAACTGTAGAAAGTTGTGAACCTCCACATTTGTGCGTATCACCGCAGTGTACGATGATGCCTTAGACAGTGCAGTTCCACAGAACTGGACAAATAAGACCCCTAACAAGAGTCAGTGCAGGGGCAAAGGGAGAACCCAGCCAAGGGAGCTGGAATTCTAAGCAGATGGCTTGTTCTCTAGCAGATTTGACTTGTTCCCACGTACCAGCCTTGAATCAGGGTGAGAGATTCTGATTCACTCTTCGGCAAGATTGTTTTTTCCTAGATGCCATGTGCTTTGGGGTGACAACAGTTGCTTGGTCTCTACACTGGACCTTTATCCTCTAATCAATGGGAAGCCTTCCCAGCAAGTGGCCCGGGCTCAGTTTCGGACATCTCAGTCCCAGGACCAACTCCCGCCAAGGTTTCAATTAGGATTTGTTCTGGAAATGCAAATGCATTGTATTTGTGTTCCTAAATGTAAACTCCGTGGCTGGACTCACCTCTAATGTTCTTAGCCTTTATTCTGAGCAGCCAAGGTCAACAGTGGGGAAAGTGGTAGAAAACTGAAGAAGCCCTTCAGTCTCTGCCACTGCTGCCCATGATCGCGTGGACAAAGAACTGGGTTATAACCTAGTCAGTGAGAGGAGCATTCACGTTTGTAAGAGCTGGGTGGGGCCGGGGGAATTACCCAGCTTGTTGGTTCTATGCTAGCTCTGGGGCCCAATTTTCATTCTCTCCCCTGTGGAATAGGCTTCTGAGGACCTTCTCAAAGAACACTACATTGACCTGAAGGACTGTCCATTCTATACCGGCCTGGTGAAATACATGCACTCAGGGCCCGTGGTTGCCATGGTGAGTGTATACTTGGGATGCTGATATGAATGAGTCAGTTGGGAGTGGAGAATGTAAGTCCTGCTGCTGCTGAAAGGTCCTCATTGATGCCCAGGCTGGGGGCACGAGAGATGATCTGAGCCGGGCTCTCTGACCCAACTGAAGACCTGTCATCAGGAGAGGCCTGCCTGGTTGTAAGCTCCAGGGAGGGATGGGGGGTGGGTAGGCAGGGAGATTGCTTCCTGTTGATTGCAGGGATTCTTCACCTTTGTGCCAGGCTCTCATTGAGTCTGGGGCTACAGTCCTGAATGAGACGAAATGGGGATCCACTTTCATTACCTACTCCTTTTGGGGTTGTGGGGGTGGGTGAGAGTCATGAAAAGATGAGTCAATTAAAGTCAATAGATCAGCCAGTGGTTAGTGATATGCACAGAACTGGCTAGTGGTGGTGATGACTTTAGACTGAGCCACTAAGGAAGGCTCTCGAGGTTTTGAAGCCAAGATCTGAATCTCGAGGAGCCTGCTGTGAGGTGCTTTGCTGACCAATAGAACAGCTTGAGCAAAGGCCCTGAGGCAGACAGGAGCTTGGCCTTTTAAACTCTAGAAGGGCAGACTGGCTGATGTCCAGTGAGAGAGAGGGCATGAAGACCGAGTCACGAGCGGGGTAGGCACCTGTTCTAGGGGAGGGTGCTCAGAAGCCATGAGGTTTTGCCACTCCGGCAGCTGTGTCAAGAGTGGGTTGTAGAAAGGCAAGAGGGCGGGAGACCGGTCATCCCAGTGCTAGAACCAGTAGGTGCTGTACGAAACGCTGGTGAAAGAATGAGTGCTCGCGTAAGCAGGCACTTTTGTTCTGTTTCCTGAGCCAGTAGTTGCTAGGGTTTCTGCTTTGACCCCGTCTTTTGTCTTTGGAGGTCTGGGAGGGCCTGAACGTGGTAAAGACCGGCCGGGTGATGCTTGGGGAGACCAACCCTGCCAACTCCAGGCCGGGGACCATCCGGGGGGATTTCTGCATCCAAATTGGCAGGTGAGATTGGGTGCTTGTTAACCTTTTCTAAGACCCAAGTTTGTTGGCAGAAGAATTTGGATTTTTGAGGCTGGGGATGGATGGGAGATAATATTCAGATCCATTGAAGAAGAACAATTCCGTTGTAGGTGAAAACTTATACAGCACACTAAGGTCCTCTGCACAAGTTTCCTCCGAGTTGTTCCTGCCATTGGTTAGTTTCGACAAGGTGTCAGCGTCCTCATGTTGGTTGTTCTTGTGCTGTTGGTCGAGCTTCCCACCAACCCCTCTGCCTGCTTCTGGGCTGCGATTGCGGGTCACTGTTGACCATTTGGTCTCGGAGTTAATTGCTTAAGGGAGGATATTAATCACAAGTGATGTTTATTTTATAAGCCAACCTATTATTTGACTGAAAATTACTTCAGCGCCAAATTCAAAGGGTATCTTAGGGCTACTCTTAGGGGTTCTTTTTTTAGGAATTTGAGCTTCTGTAATTTTCTTCCATTCTCTCTGGGACCTTCTATTGTGTCCCTGGTCAAAATGGCTCTCACTACCTGCAGGAACTGCTGCAATGGGAATGGGGTTCTGCACCCTTCTATCGACTGTAGTCGTGGTATTTTCCCTCGACATTGCCTAATATATTTGGAGAGCCCCTGGGTGGCACGAAGGGTTATATGCTCAACCTAGAGATGCCTTGGAAGAAAGGCCTGGCGATCTACCAGCCACTGACTGCCCTGTGGAGCCCAGTTCTGCTGAGCTCTGGGCACGGGGCAGGTCATCACTCAGTGGCACCTGGTTTGTGTGCTAACTGTATGGGGAGCTTTGGGCTTTTCTGCTGGCAGTGGGAGGGGGTGTCTGAGGCATTTCATCCCAGTGATCTGAGTCACGTGGCCACCTCTGTCCTCCCTTAGGAACATCATTCATGGCAGTGATTCTGTGGAGAGTGCGAATAAGGAGATCGGCCTATGGTTTCACCCCGAGGAACTGGTCACCTACAAGAGCTGCGCTCAGGACTGGATCTATGAGTGACCTGCCGGCAGACCACAGAACCCCCACTCCACGTCCCCCTCCTGGCGTCCACAGGCAGGGGACCAGGCTGCAGCCCCCCTAGTTATTTCTGGGGACTTCTTTATCGTCTGGAGGGTAGCTGTCGAAGCTGAGTGCTCCTTGTTCAACGTTACCAGGCACCATCCGATTAAAATGTTGTCACCCAGCTCATAGATTCGAGATTACTCTCTGCTACTGGGTCGTCACTGTGGCTTGTTTCTGTATTTTGGGCAGCCCGAAGGAATGGGAGATGCAAATACTTGGCTTGAGAGATGATACAGTCTGTGTCCCCTGTGCCAGCACCCTAGCCCATCCCCTCTGGGCACTGAGCCAGTCAGCAGGCGTCTATCCGGGGCCTGCTAGGTGGCCAAGACTTGGGTGCAGTGCCTAGTGTTCACAGGCAGAAGCTCCAGTGGCTGGGGGAGTGTGGGAAGTTGCCACGACAAGAGAAGATGAGGGATGCTGTGGACTGCAGTTGTGGGCCCCTGGCAAGGCCCCCAAGGCAGCAGAGGAGAGCCTACAAGGAGCTTTGATTTGTTAGGGCTGCTTCGCAGAGATGAGAGGAATGTACGTCTTCATTTTAAAAGCCCAAGCTGAGGGTGGGGTGTGTGTGGTAAGGTGCTGCTTCTGGAGGCTGGGGTGGGGTGGTGTTCCTTCTAATAACCCAAGATGGATGCTCGGCCACGGCCACCTTCCAGCTAGTTGGGAAGGGCCGTGGAAGGCGGTCTCCTTTGAAAGACATGGCCCCGGTTTTCCTGCCTTCGTTTCTCTCACATGCCATTGGCCAGAACTGGGTCACCTGGTTGTACCTAGCCGGATGTGAAACTGGAACGTGTTAGGGGGCAGCCAAGAGTTGGCTTAGAGAAAACCCCAGCCCTGTTTTTCTGCCAAGAGCTGGAGCAAGTCTTCCTTCTCTATTTTACCTGGCTTTGAGCCGTCGTCCATAGATGGGCCCTGGTGGCACGATGGTTGAAGCTCTCAACTGCTAACAGGTCAATAGCTGGAACCCACCAGCTTCTCTGTGGGAGGCAGATGTGCAGTCTGCTGCCAGGAAGACTCAAGCTCAGACCTCTGGGGTTGTGCTGCGTGGGGATTTGTGGCCGTGGATTTTGTTCTGCTTTAGAGGCAAGGGAGGGGCAGGAGATTTGGGATGGGGCTACCGTTCCTTGGGAGGCAGGATATACTTCTGTTGGCACACAGCGTGGCCTGCTTTGTGGGGTGAGATGGGAGTCCCAGGATGTGTGCGTGATCATGTGTGGTGGGGTAGGGGGCTTACATCCCTCTACCCTTGCTAATGTCAGCCTTTCCAGGATGGCAAGGAGGCCGCGAGGCGGGGAGCTGGCCCTGCCTGTACAAGGGCGTGGGTGTCATGACTCCAGAAGGAGTGTCAGGAGACATCCTGTGATGGTGCCTGCCCCTTCTGCACAGGGTGACAGCTCAGGAAAGGAACCAAATGAGACTCCGCTTCAGACTGCGGCCAAAGGAAACACGGGTGTCTGTGTCCCAGAGCATGGACGAAGTGACGGCAGTCAGCTCCAGGCTCTGTTGCTTGCGCCTACAGCTAGAATTGGGAAGGTCAGAGCAGAGAGAAGCCTGGTTCTCCACCCAGGAGAGCGCTCCAGGTTCTGTCAGGAACACAAGGGGATTACACCACACCGGGTGGTAGGATTCCTGTGGCTAGCTCAGGGTCCAGGGGCTGACAGGAGGGCAAACCATCTCAGAGCTGTAAACCAGTCCGGGCAGAGGTCAGGGGCTTCCTGCCAACCTGACCCACGGAAGCCGGACAAGTCTTCCTGGAGGATGCAGTACCTGCCAAGCTGTTGAACTTGGATCCAGAGTGAACTCGGATACACGGCGCCCTGGCGAACAGGACAGAACTGCCCCACGGGCCTTGCTAGTCTGGCATCTTCACAGGAGCAGGCTGCCAAGTCTTTTCTACTTCTGAACCTCTGGGTGGAGTCAACGACCAACCTTTTAGCGAGTAGCTTGCTTAATTTAACCATTGTACCTCCAGGGCGCCATACACCTGAACTACCTGGTGGTAAAGGTGGCTAGGGGTTTGCCAGGCTGAGAGCCGGTGGTGATTATCAGCAAAAAGACGGCTGATCCGATGCCTAGGAAGCTCCAGGTGCCTGTGTCAAGGTTGTGTGTCTCAGGTTGGCCTGATTGATGGACAGGAGTCTTTGTCTCAGTGTGTATGGGGCAGTCAAGTAGGCGAGGGTCTACTGTGAGGAAGGAGTACGATGGCTCCATCCTGCAGGCTCCGAAGGTAGTCATCCAAGGGAAGGGAGAGCCGGGGTCAACGCGTGAGTGTTGGAGGTGCCCAGGGTGTGTCCCCGTGGGAAGAGGGGCCTTCCCGTTGGGAGCTGCCAGTTAATGTGGGTGAGAGGTTGAGGGCTTGAACGTCTGGGCTAGCGGTGAGGTGGGGGAGGCGGGGCTGACCGGAGTCAGGTGGATGGTGGGAATAGGTGGAATTGGCTCAGGAACAGCCAAAGTGGGTGTCCTTCCGTTGTGGAGGAGGCGGGGGTTGCCTCCCGTGCACCCCAGCCCGGCGCTGCTAAGGTTCCTGGTAGCCCTGGCTGGGGTGGACGCCTGCCACCGGCTCCGGTGGGCGCCGGGCAGCTCCCCACCCACAAAGGCCTGATCCTTCATCGCAGAGGCTTTGTAAAAGTCTCTTTTAAAAGATTACAAAGTCAGCTCAAACCCTGGGCGAGAGCAGGTTTCCCCTTCTTTCCCGTGCACGTTTCGGGGCAGTGGTACTGAAAGACGAGAACGTGTCGCTTTGGGCCGCGGGCCCCCCAGGTGGAGAAGCAGCCACTTCCTGCCTCCGGCGCCCGGGCAGCAAACCCAGGGCCGGCCCCGCAGCCTCGCGGCGTGGGCCGTGTCCTGCCAGCGCG